TAGATATATATTGAGCTTTGTGTTTCTATGGCTGCAAAGAATCTTTATGTTTTAAAAAGAATAATTTTTCTTCTAGGCCGTACTGCAGGCCAATGCTGGGATCCGGGTGTGCCAGCCAATGGGGTGAGGGATAACAACAGTAACTTTACATCAGGACAGACAGTCAGGTACACCTGTATGGTCGGGTATCAGCTGTGGGGGACTGCCAATATAACCTGTCAGTCGAACCTGACATGGAGTGATGCTACACCAACTTGTGAAGGTAACAAAATTTAAATGCCTGACTTAGGTCACAGCAAGTAAATTTTAGGGATGACATCCTCCGCAGAATCCAAATCTAATGCGAGAGGCCGAAAAAACAAGGCGGGCCCAAAAAAGCAAGATTTCTACATTTTCAAATTTTGACACATTATTAACCATGTTAAACAAGAAATGATCATACCTATATTGTGCTAACTTTACTGCCAACTATTACAACATCCATTTGTCAATGAAGCAACTTTGAAAAAGTTTTCAATCATTGTACAAATGGGATTGATTTAGTGGGAACATATAAAAGGAAGGAAGTACACTGCATCAAAGTTAAAGTCCTAACAATACATCAGAGCATTGTATTGTCTCCTCTCTTTATCTGCCATCCACTTGCTGGCATGGCAAGACATGCAATTTTGCTCATTTTCGTCCTGTTGACCACTGTTAGAAAGCAAAAAAAATAAAAAATTCCCAAAATCAGGCGAAAATCAATGCGCTCTCTGATGTCACCCATATAAATTTATTGCTGTGGCCTTACTGTATGTACGCGGTTATCAGTATGTGACATATATGCAATTAGACTATTCTAGGTATTGATAACTTATTCTTCTTTTATACACAGCCATTGAAAAATATGACGGTACGTTATTGTGGCAAATCAAATGTTAATTTAGCGTGGGTATAGCCAAAAAAAAAATTTTAAAAAATCATTACAAAAATGGATATTCACTGGAAATAACATCTCTGGAATTCAAACAAGAAGCCATAGGTGACAATCCTCCGTGAAGTTTTATATATTTCAACAAAAACAATCCCAAGCGCCAACGCCAGACTTCCAAAAAACTTCCATCTCTTAAGCACGGGCAAAAACATCTGAAACCACTTATCGGAACCTCACCGTATCTGCCTGAAGGTCTACCCCCCACTGCTATTCCAAACAACGTGTTTTTCTGGACCATTCCAATTCGCCTCGTAATTGTAGGGGTGCGTCTGCAATATTACATTGACCGCGAAAGCAGCAACGGCAAAAATACACATCCGTGCATTAACACGGGCATGCCCGCAGACGGCTTATAAAATTGCGTGCCGATTACACAAAGAGAACCCAGTGTTTTGACTGCGAACACGAAAATTCAGCTCCAGAGGTCCTGACCTCCTTCACTGAGTAACAAATGTGAACAGACATAAATGAAAATAAAAATAAAAGTCTTCCACCCATAATGGTAGACTTTGGTGCTGCCATTTTGTACAGGGAAAGCGATGTAAACGCCTAATGCTTCTGCATCTCCCCGCTGCCTGCCCGCTATAGCTGTCCTAACTGAATTTGTTCTGGCAATGCATAACTGCGCTAAAGCTAGATCACCTGCATAAAGGGCGGATATTTACGTATTTTTGTCAGCCTGCTTATTTCATTTAGGCCCTATCAATACCTTTATTAAATTAAGAAAAGTTTTGTTCTTGTCAACCTGCCCATTCACAAACCTCTGCAGTCCATGTATGCATATGGTTTTGGTTGTTTTAGAAAAAAAAGTCTTTAGACATATAATACAGGCCTCGTTACGCCTCCAACTCCGACCACCTCAGGGATTGAACGAAATCAAGATTTTTACATCACAAAAAATCCAGGAAAGGGTTTAGGTTTTATTTAGTTTAAGTATAATATGGAAACACCTTGGAAAATCTTTTGCTGTATGCAAGGTTCAGTTAGTATATAATGTAGTCTGATCTGTTGTTGTTGTCGGATCTGCCTGTATTTATTGCGTAGCTTCCATGTCAGCAATCGAGAAATCGCCGAAAAGTGCGTGGGCTGATTCTTTAGCCACACGTATTGAAATCTACTAGGTAAATATGTGCTACATGCCCGTAAATTTTGTATACCACATTTACTAAGTATTTACAAGTTGAAAGTAAATTTGGTATATTCCACTCGTGCAGTGAACAGTTTCGGTGCTTGTTCCGAGACATATCAACGTTAGATAATTTCGTAACAATCTTGTTATTTTCAATTACCCTTGGCCGAAATGTTAATTAAACTGATTGTTATTGAAAGTAAATACATTTAGATCCCAGTAGAATCCGTCTTGTCGGAATCCATGGACCAAGCCGAGGACGTCTGGAAGTTCGTCCGGCCAACAGTTTGACTTGGGGCAGAGTTTGTTATGACCACTTTGACATGAGGGATGCAGACGTTGTTTGCAGAATGTTGGGCTATATCTGGGCAAATCAAGCTTCTCCTACCTCCAGAGGTTAGAATCGTCTTCTGTTCTTTCAGTCAAAGGCTATCTTTAAAACTTCGTGTTTGAATAGACATCAAGCCCTTTTGGTATATATCTTTGTGATGACTACATTTAATCTAGAAAAAGCTAACAACAATTGTTTTTTCTTTATGTTTACATAAAGGCATGGGGCCAATCTACATGACTGACCTGCGATGTGATGGGAATGAGAGCAGTCTTTTTAACTGCTCGTACGCAGGGTGGGGGATTGACAACTGTGACTCACAAAATGTTGCCGTTGTCTGCGGTACGATGATAAGTATTAACTGTTGTTATTTTGTTATGGACTGAAATTTAACTGTATTGTTTTTTCTTTCTTTTTATGTTCCCATCATCCTTCTTCCCCTCCCGCCATTTTGTTACATGGATTTAATTTCTTAATTTTTAGGCACATGACCTGAAATTTATGTATTTATATTTATTTGATATATTTTAGTCATACTATAGTATTGCTGATATATTTTTTCCTAATGTTTCTTCTCCTCCTTCTTCTCCTGTCATCTCTATTTTCTGTCTTTTTGGCTGTTTTGATAGGAAAGGCACTCTGGTAGTTTGATACTATATTTGGCATGTGTGACCTGTGACCATTTATTGATATTGGGGGAATAAACCTAACATTTGTACATGCCGCTCCAGGATAGGACTCTATAGCCACAGCCAGCGATGTCTGAAGACGAACTGAACCACGGCGCATACCCCATTGTCTCCCGAGACGGAAGGATGCCAACAGAAACCTAATATTTGCTGTTTGTTCTTGATTTCAGTATAGATCCTTACATAACACCACAGATCACGTAAATTGCTGGTGATAGTGCTGCCGTCTCGTCAAGTAGGGCTTAAACCAATTGCAAGCCATGTCATTTACACTGTAGTATTCTACCTTCCGCAGTAGTATCTTATGAAAGGTTCTTGAAAGACAGAAAACCACACTGGTTTACTCCTTTGAATCAATTTATTGGACCCAATCTTCGATCATTGAATGCAGAGCAGTTTCACAAAACTGCAGTTTTTGTAAATCTGATATTTTGTATGAGGTCTGTTTGTTAAGGTATTCATACAATTGAATCTGGAGTGTTCCCTCTAGTATCTGGATACGCACCTTTTTTTGTGTCATGGCATTATTTTCAAACGTTTCTATCTTTTTGGGAATTCACCCATGCTCAGCGACTGATTAAACAGCTTGGTAGCCTATTGTCCAAGTTATCGAGTCCAGTGACTTTCTTTACTTTCGGTTTGTGGTTTATTACAAATTCTTGTGTAATTAACTGGAGTAAAGGCAAATGTGCTGTGGAATTGTCAATGAACTGAGAAGCGTTGAGGGGAGGAACAATATAATACAAGACACCTATAACTTTGTTAGGAACTCTATTCCGTAAGTGTCAGTGATGTTCTGGTCATTATGTAAGATACAATTGATAATATTTTGTGTCGTCTTAGGTAATAAGTTATGAATAGCTTCTCACATTCCACTGATTCCAGCCTGTCCATCTAATGATTCTTTGATAACTGAGTGTACAGCATGATTTTTTAGCTTATCGGCACAACTTTTTTCTTGGGTTTTGAGAATATTTGTTGCTTATAACAACTGGGGGTTGCAGAAGACTGAAAAGCACTGCATGGGTCATTAAAGGGGTTTGAACATGGAGTATGGATAAGGTTGATATGGAACGGGATGAATGAATGGGTAAAATATGCTGCATTTACTCCCGAGCTAATATTAAAGTGCCTGTTACTGAAGATCACTACATGGTGGTTTTTTAAAACACGTTTACGAAAAAACACCACATGGGGGTTAAGCATCACATTGGAATTAACTGAATATTTGTTACTGGTGAAAACAAATGCATGTTGGTTTCAGAAAAGTGGAAGAAAGTGTATATGGTTTTTTAAACAATAATTACGAACACGGGGGTGTTGAAATACCTAATACAAGATTGATAAACTTGATCTAGAACTTTGCTGTTTAGAATGGATCGAATTATGCCTTATTTGTTCATAAATGTGACCTTTTAGTATCGATGCTAAAATAAAGATTGCGCGACATACTATATCTATAATCTATCTCTCT